AGCAAATTTGAAACAATGGGAGTCTTTTTAAACATCAATGAAATTACCATGATGACAAGTGTGATGTAATGCGGATTGTAAATGTAAAATATTCCCCCTTCGTGTGTGCAATTGAGCAGGCTGAAGTGTCCGAGAGTTAATAAACGTGTAACGCGGATATCGCCGAGGCCTCATTCCACCCACGTTATGTCAATTTCTCTCTCTAACTCTCCAGTTCGCTCTTTCTCTTTCTACCTCTCTCGGACACAACAAACCTGACAGACAAATACTGGAGGGGAGGGAGAGAGGGAGAGAGAGAGAGAGAGAGAGAGAGAGTGTGCGTGTACTGCTTCAATATACATGTTTTATCTGCATTCACCCTTCCACAGTTGGCCTGGGCGGAAAACTTTTGTGATAACATTGTTCACCAACCCATTCCACAGCTGTGGGGCCATTTGTATTATTAAATTCAAAACCAAGGAGAAGAGCGAACACAAATAGGCTTGTCTGTTTTTTCAGCAAACAATTATTCAGATTTATCAGCACGACTGAATAATTGACGATTCAGCGATTTTTCCCTCCCAAACAAAATCACGCATTCCCTTTTATTAATTATCTTTTAAAAATGTAGTATTATTATTTCGTATGTATACTCTTGTACTAGTGCTATATAGGAAGCGAGTAGGAACTGATAGATATCTCGCTTTCTTGTGGATAATGAGAGTGTCTGGATCTATTAGTGGGAATGTGTAGTGTGAGAGGGCCAAGTAATGAGCACCCCATTAGATTAGTTAGATATAGATATATCGTATGTTAACATCAAGCACTCCACCACCCTACTCTATTGGATGTAAATAGTAACGAAGGTATCTAAGAATGTGAGTGGATTCGGATTTCAGAACTGCATGAGTTGGGGGCTGACATGACATAGCAGTTGATAGCCCATGGAGCAAATATTACGAAGGACTAGACTGAGATCTATCCCAAGACTGCCATAACCTGAACTAGTTGATTCATAGTCACAGAAGTCATAGGCTCACTTCTATAGTACGTCTGTATAAATGGTGTCTTTTTTAGTTGGCCCGGTTGAATTTCTCTTGAATCAATGACGCTATTTTAAAAAAATATAAAAAGTATTTACTAGTTATTACTCTAGTTTCAAATTTTTATTTTCATTTATTTATTTTTTTTTATTTTTTTTTTTTTTGGGGGGGGGGGGTAATAGGGTACCTCAGGCCCAGTTCAACTTCAAAACTTCAAATACGACTCTAAACATCTTGACATATTATTTCCAAGGATTTTTTAGGCTAAAATAATGGTGCAATCGGGATTTAAATTGGCCAAAAAACGACAAAGTTATGGGAAAAAGTTTTAATAAAAAGTCATTTGGTTTGCTATTTACTAATCACATTTCATGTTCGAATTGCCTGCGAAAAGATGCGATAGAGTCAGGTGAGATGGATTGAAAAGTATTTTCTGTCCCTTGCCATAGTTCTTCCACTGAGGTTGCTGGGTTAAGATGGGCGTAGACCCTGTTTTTTAAATCGTCAAGTGGAGTTTAGTATGACCGGCCAACAGATCCATGAAGTCCTATCCACTTATTCCGGAAGTGACGATTCAAATAACGTCCCACCTGCAAAGAATTTAGTGCGGGGCATCCATCAAGCTGGAGAATCATTCTTGGTCATTGTTGCAGAGGAACATCGTCTAATAGTGTTGGTGAAACTTCCCTAAAAAATGAGGAACTGAGCACCATTTTAATTATTTTCGTATAAATAAGGCCCAATTAATTTGTTTTCAAGAAGTTCACACCAAACGTTGATACTGTGAACCACCTGATGATGACAAGAGTACAAATTTCTCGAATTTTCCTCAGTCAACATTCGAAAATCCCAAAGGTTTAGTATGCATTAGAGATGAACTTTGATTCGTCAGTCCATAGGATGTACGGAAGAACGCTTTCTTCACCTCCAAAATTTGTGCAAGGAACGTTAGACGCCTGTCATAATCAGAACCCCGAAGTCCCTGGTCAAGATGTGAGCGATACGGCTTAATTTTTTTAAAAACCTAACAACCATCCAACAATTCGGAGACAGGTTGGATTTTCGCGAACATACAGTAAAATATTCCGCTCAAGCATAATTTACGCTGCCGGTTTCTTTTTACCATAACTGTCATTTTTTGACCAATTAAAATCTGATTGCACCATTGTTTGCATCGTAAAAGTTCCTTTTAAATGAAGTGTCAGAATTTATAGGGTCGTATTTGAAAGTTAGGAGTTGGACTGGACCTGAGGTATTCTGTATAATTTTTCTCCAAAAAGGTAAAAAATTGAAACGAGGCAAAAAATATTATAAATATTCTAGCGTCATTGGTTCAAGAGAAATTCAGCCGGGCCATCTAAAACAGACATCCTGTATCTGTTCTTATACGTGCGAGGTGGAGGTAATATTTTGTACACATGAATTTTTGTTACATTCATTTTGACTCGTGTCACTAATTCGTCTATATTTATTGACTTGCCGTACTATTTTCTTTGCCTTTCTATATATTATATGTATATTTAACGTCATTTTTAAATTCTCTGTACGATCGCGCGGAATCCGTACGGTTTCAATTCTATAAAACGGATTGTTTGCCTTTTTATAAGTGAAGTAAAGGGACTTGGAAAAGTTCTCCCGGCCAACATTCCATGTTTTCGTCACACGGTCTAAATTGAGAAAGAATAGAGCCGGGGGGCTTACCCCGGTCCAGGAAAGCATAAATTAGTTTTATCAAATTGGGGTTAAGCCCCCGAACGACTTTGAACTTGCAGGGGGAGTGACCTTTATGAATAAGGGGGTCGGATGGGACGACCCGAGTTAACAGGGGAGCAGGAAGTTTGATAGAAGCGACCCTTTACACACCGTTTCGCCCAGTTCAATTATTTTCTGAAAACTTTCCGCAGCGGTGTTAATGGAAAAGATGTAACTGAGATTGATTTCTGACAATGAGTACACAATGATTTGCAACTATGCCAAATTCCGATCATCTGTAATTTAATCTAATTAAAATCTTAAAAGTATACCCAATAAAATTAATTACTTATAGCGAGGAAATATAATGATTAAATTTACATATTTGAAAATATAGTTGGAAAGAAGATTTTGAATTTATGCTAAGTGCTAAAATTATCGGATTTTTTTCTTGATCATTGGACTTTTTTAAGAAAAACTAAGCATCAGTGTTTCAGATGATTGAATCATCATTTTTCATCTAAAATTTACCAATTTAACTAACACTCTAAAAGAATGTTAAATGCGTACTAATTTGAAAAATTCAGAACAAGGTGAAACACGATGAAATAATTCTGCCGGATGCTATTACCATCCCGTGAAAAAGGTCAAGACCTAAGGAAGTCCTCGCCGGAAGACTTAACAAAGTACCGCCGGGTGGGGGCGGCGGGGTTACTAATTGTAACAGCCGCCTCCTAACTGCCGCCAAATTGACTCGACTCCCACAAATCTGAACCACTCCACTATTAATACCCACTGTCAATGCCACTCCACCCCAATTAACCGTTCTCCCGGCCGGGCCGGCTATTGATATCCCTAATTATCCCTCAACACAAGGGCCTCCTCCTCGATCCATCAACCACACACTCGTGCCAATGTTTTATCTCATTTATCACACATCACAAAAGGAAATCGCCAATCATTAAACACAACCATTCATCCCTATCTTCGCATTCATGCTTTTAATCTTTTGTTGCCCAAAAGGACATATAAAATAAAAGACAAGATGCGACTAAATATGAAACTTTCAACATACAAAATAAAATGTCTGGGTAATGTGAAAAATAATATGTCACGGTGCTTTTCAACTAAGGGTGATTTGGCATATTTTGAAGGAGGCGAGTAAACCATGCCAAAATTTGACGATACCCTTTGAAAATTTGAATATACCTCTTACCTATTTTTTTAATGAGGCCAAACTTTTTCGTTCAACTAGTAGGTTTTCGTCAGTATCGTGCTATTTTTCTTTTCGTTGATTTCCTTTCTAAAATTTTTGACCGGAATCGCATAATACATTTTTAGTATTAGGAATATGGACCACTTTTTCTCCCACGAACACTCTGGCTCAAGGTATGGTCTTGAAGAAGAAAGCAAATTCAGTTTTCACTGCCAAGATTTCGACCTATTTTAAGGTCATCATCAGGGTAAAACAATCTTAATTATGTCTACAGATTGAGACAGTACTTGGCAATGTTGGGACTTAGTCGGTCTTCAAGGAAATATGAGATCGCCTGTAAAAAACTTAAATATGTCAATCTATAGACATATTAAGATTGTTTTGCCCTGATGATGACCTTAAAATAGGTGGAAAGTTTGGCAGAAACAACTGAATTTGCTTTCTTCTTCAAGATCCATGCATACCTTGATCCAGTGTTCGTGAATATATTTTTAAGCGAAATTTTTCTAATATATTGCTTCCAAACTACCTAAGGTAGAGAAGCCTTCCTTGCGGGAAGGAAATCAAAATTTCCACTCGCATTTTGTAATTCAGATCTTCCTGAAAAATTTTGGTTCCGTGTCTCTCTGTCTGTGGTCAATTTCTTGTAACCGGCAAAACCCCGAGGACGAATTTTTATGATATTTTCAGAGATTGGATTCTAGATGGTCCTCTATGAATTTCATCCCAATCGGATAAACCTGTGCATGCGTATACATAAAATCCCGTATACAGCTGTATCTCTGTATCTCTCAAACTATTTGTCGGATTCTTATGCAATTTCAGGGATAATGCGGATTGCTTTCTACATGATATACTTTAATTTTATTCCAAAAAGATTAACATATGCGAATGCACAAAATGTGAGAAGAACAAAATGAGACGAGAGAGGAATATTGCTTTACAAGAATCATCTTAGAACTTTTACAAACTTAATATTTTTAGGTAGGACAAGCCACACAGAAAACGCTGCAGACAACAGTACAAAACGCTTGTCCGGCCTTATTATTAGTTAATTTTCAAACAATTACCTGATGCCGACTTGGAGTCTTCTCTGTGGAGATCTGGCTTGGCCGCCAGCATGCTCAGAGGGTGGCTCGCGGGTCCTGCCAGGGCTCCTGAAAGGCCGAGCAGCGATGCTGCAGAGGCCGGGGGTCCCGGAAGCCCCGGGTGCGGCATCATCGGCAAGGGAGGCGCGTGTCCAGCGTGCGGCAGCTGCTGGGCGTGCATTTGTTGCTGAAAAAGACAGGCAATATTTAAATTTCGAGTCGGACCCCGAGGCGTAAAAGCGCGTCCGGAGAAACGTAGAAGGGAGATTAATCGGGGGAAAAGAAGTCCCATTAGGGTTAAATTTCCCCTTAGAGTAAAAACCACCGTGGTTCGAGGCATCTGACTCGGGCTTACTTTGACGCAATATTGTCGCCTTTGACGAAACTACGTGGGACGTGGTAACATGTCGTATGTAAAAAAACAAAACAGCAGTGGAATTTTGTCATAATACACCAGTAAAACGAAAAAACACGCATCTGACACACTTTAACACAAGAGTTCTTACTTTATTTTATACATTTATTCCTGGGCTGTTTTATGATTTTTGGCATTTCAGGTCCATTACCGACTCAAATTTTGGTCAGTCTTTGGACTTAATTAGAAATCTATGCTTTGCTTCTTAATGAAATAATAGAAAATTTAGCAGTGTACATTTTTCAAAGTCCAAAAGAAAACAAAAAACACTCATGAAGTTGTTTCGAATTATACGCTTAATTCTGACCAGTAATTTTATAGCTCTGAGATAGACAGTACAATACGAAGAAATTGACTATGGAGATGGTTATTAATATTATGTATTATGTTCTATTACATTTGCAAAATATCACTCTAAACCAGGATTCATTTCTTCTCCCTTCGAGCTGGGGCAATTCTGTCTGGACCAATCTTTGATGTGGCTAAGCCTTTGATCGGGGGTATACCATAAACGGCTTGTCGTTAATCAACTCCATCAACCTATTACCTTACGTTCGTACTTCGCCAACAGTTATAGTGTTAGGGAATGAAATGCTCTTTATGTGAAAGTTGGTGTACTACTCCTCGACCTTTATGAGATTTACCTATCACCGACGTACCCTGAGATTTCTATATTTTCCTTTACAGATAACATTTCAACTCCTTCATTGAATAGAGCAATGCTGCAAAACTAGGAAATTAAACTAAACACCTCAATATACATGGGGGAGTCGGTGGCCGGAACGGTTGGCGTGTTAAGGTAAAGGTCCGGGTTCGAATCCAGCGGGCCTGCATTGGAACTCGATATACTTAGAAATGGGATTTTTTCAAAAACACCGTTCACCTGAGGGTTGACCTGACCTCTCTTGTTGCGATCCCTCGTAAAAAAAGAAAATAAATAAAAATAAACATTACATTCACCCTCCATCGACGAACCTGGTATCCCATCTACTTTAATACCAAACCATATCCTACTGCAAGCCATGTACTAGGGAACGTATCTAGACAAGGGACTTCCTTAATCCACAGACAGAGTCAAGAGACGAGAATGGGTGAGACATTACAACACCCTGTCAAAACTTGACAAAATATTATTTTAAAACCAATCTGGACTTGTGAAATGCAACTTTGGGGTTCTGTCAAGAGTTCCAGCTTAGATCGAGTACAAACGTCCCAATTCAACATCCTCGGAAAAATCCTAAATGTTCCTTTCTACGTTCCCGGTGAAACCATGCACAATGTCCTTAATATACCCCCTGCTAAATCGCTAAGCCTCTCACTCTCAATCAACATTGACCCAATCCTCTCTCAAATCCTCCAGGTGAAAGAGGCAGCGGCCCAGAAATTCCCGTCTAGTTAATAAAGTGAATGTGAAATGTAATTTGGAGTGTTACCAAGCCTGTGTATTTTTAAATCCTTTATGGAGAGGGTTATTTCATTTAAAACTGTGTAAAGTGTATCGTATGTTTTCGTTATAGCATTCCCACTGTTTCATCAAAAGGCGTGATATCGCATGAAAAGCAGTCGCCTCGGAATGATCAAAGCCGGTAAAGCCCAGACGTTGATTAGGATCTGCTTGTTTTGTTATAACTTGATTTAGGGTTTTTCTTACCAATAATCTCGGAAGGTCCGGTCGTTGTTGCTGCAACATAAAATAGAAACAAAAAATATACAACATGTTTTGATTGACCTGAAAAAATTACTTTTGTTTTTCTTTAAAATAAACAAGTGCGATACACATATTACGAACACAAGGAGTCACAGAGAAAACTTACAAACGGAGGAAATTAAAATAAATTAAATTAAATAATAACATTCAGTTTTCAACGGCCGGACCTCTGAGATGACAGAAGACCACAATCCGACTTTTAAAAATTTAAAACCAAAACAAAGCTTACATGCAAAAGCTGATTAACACATCTTTAAAAAAAATACTTGGCTAAGGCGATTTAAAATTAGAATTTATAGTAGGAAGTATGACTAGTTCAGGGAATTTTATCTAGTAATGTCTTATGATCTTTTAAATCTTTCAATATCTCTGGGTCGTCCTATTATGGGCGGTTTCTTCTTTATAGGACCAGTTCCATTCAACGCATTCTAAACTAGACAAGTTAATTAGTAATGACCCAACATTTTACCGAAGGTATTTTTACCATTTGAATCCTTTTCGACCTCGATTCAAATAGCCCACACTAGGGACATAAAGTCCATCCATTACCTGGTTTATGGGAATCGAACGGAAGACCAATGCTGAGAGGGGTTCGTCGGCCTCCGAGCTATTTATAAATAGAGCAGAATTTCCTATTTCCATTGAAAGATGATACTGGTAAGACATTGCGGTGGCCCTGGACCAGTAGTGGTTGGGCGTATGTATTAAACTTTGTTTGTGTATGTGCAAGGTGTATTTTATTTTATTGTTTGATAGTTACATATCGTCTGCTTATCCTCGCTGATTGTTGTTGGCTAAGACGCGTTTGGGCAATTCGCAATCTTCAGTGTTTGGGTGATTTTTGTGGAGTGAAGTACTTGGTGTGGGGGGGGGGCTGTGTAGGTAGTAGTGTTGTTTGTAGGTGTGCTTCATATTAGGTCCTTTTCCTTTTTAGTTTGTGTAATGGTTTAATGATGTTTATGAGTTATAGTTAAATCGGTTTTTTTTATCGTTCCAGTTGTCCTTTTTGATCTTCGGTCGTTTTTCTTATTATTTTGTCTAATGTTCTAAATTATGCAATAAGTTTGTGAATTATTGTTAATATGTGTATTTATCAATTATTTATAGCTGAATTGATATGTTTATATAGTAATGATAAATTATGGAGTGAGTGTGAAGTTCAATCCTTTTTAAAAAGATAGTTCCTACTCACAGTAAATTGTTTTGCAACAATCCGGATTCGAGCCTTTTAGATCATCATCAGGTTGAAGGACTTCTACAATGACGTCTCTCGACATGAATTGCCAGTTTTTTTTTTTAAAGATAGTTCCTACTGACAGTAAGTTGTCAGTAAGTTGTTTTGCAACGATCCGGATTTCGAGCCTTTTAACTCATCATCAGGTTGAAGGACTTCTACAACCACGTCTCTCGACATGAATTGCCAAAGTATACGTTTATATATTTCTAAGCTTTCGAGTAAGTCCGTTTTTCCTCCTTTTTGTATATTGTGTAGTAGTTTCATACTTGTTTGTATTGTTGGTGATTCGTGGTTGTTTTCTATTATGTATGTAAATTGATTTTCCATCGTTCTCCATACGTTGATACATTCTTTGAATCTGTATTTAGTTTTCGTCCTGTGTCCGATTATTTGTCTTTTGTCTCAGCATTTGCATTCCGTTTTTGTTCTAGTTGGTGTCTTTTTTTACGGGGGAGGGGGTTAGTATATGTGTTTTGTTACTGTTGTTTTTGCCGAATGTGTTCAATAAGATAGCAAGTATGTTTCTGTCCCAATGTATTGGAATATGATCCATTTAGTATATGTGATTGTGGTATTGTTTTGTTTTTGCATACGTATTATATATATATATATATATGTATATATATTTTTTTTTTTTTTTTTTTTTTTTTTTACGAGGGTTCGCAACAGCAGAGGTTATCTCAACCCTCGGGGTGCCGGTGTTTTTGAAAAAAGCCCATTTGTAAGTATATCGGGTTCGAATGCAGGGCTGCTGGATTCGAACCCGGGAACTTTACCTTACAGTGATGAGCGCCGTGTCAACGCCTAAACCGTTGCGGCTACCGACGCCCCCGTTTTATTTATTATTCTGTTAATTCTGTTAGTATTCGTTTCCGTATTTGTCTTGGTTTAATGGGATTGATGTTAGTCTTTTTAGTGTAACGATATTTTAATACTGCTTTTTGTGTATGTCTGAGTGGTTTGAGTCGGCGTTGTCTTCTGTTTTTGAGATTGCTAAGTCTACGAAGTTGAGTATTTTATTTTATGCAAACCGTAGAAAACTGTTGTTTATATTAAATGTTAACATTACTGATGATTCGGAGATCGTGAGATGCGGTCTGGTGTACCGTAGGTTTTAGAAAAACATTTTCTTTATTGTGCCAACGTTTCGATCTTTATTGAGATCATCTTCAGGGCTCAAAGTGTTTGTTTTCTGTGAAGATGAGTCATTCTTGTCTGTCGTTGTGACTCTCGTTGAATGACTTATCTACACGGAAAAGAAACACTTTGAGCCCTGAAGGTGATCTCAATAAAGATCGAAACGTTGGCACGATAAAGAAAATGTTTTTCTAAAACCAACGTTACACCAGACAGCACTTCACGATCTCCAAATAATCATTATTATTGAATCTATGACAATAATTCACGCACACTTCTGGAAGAGAAAGAATATTGATATTGAATCTAACATTGGTAAATATAAAATGATGTATATCAAAGTATAAATCTAAAAAACATAAGTTCTAGGATTAAAATAGAATTCATTAGTACACGAGTTGCGAGTCTTTCGAATTCTATTTCAATTTTCCCCAACAGGTACAATGTCGGAAACATTGAAATTCCAATAAAATCCGATGATGGACCGTAAACAGGTGGGAGTACCTCTTGGAAATGAATAATTGTGTCTGATTTCCGATATGGGATGTAATGAAGCGTGATTAAATGCCTAAGCGTTCCAAGGGTGACTAAACGCTCATTGATTCTCTGCACTGCGAATGGAAATTAGCCACGGGTATATTTGGAATCGTGACCGTACAAAAGATTTATGTATAAGTCATACCGATTGGATTCAGGGCGAACTCGTTAAGAAAATAGATTAATCCCACTTAATTAAAGTGTCTGACGAGAATGGAAAATAACAGCCGTGAGTGGAGCGCCGATACAGAAACCTTTTTTGGAGATTTCGACTTATGATGACTTACGAAAATTAATTAAAAGAGAAAAAACCCAAATTGTGTATATAATGTTGGAAATTATTAAATCGACACAGAACGTTCATGACTGACACATAATATAAAAGCTTTATAGCTTCGGTTAATAGGTCAAATAGAAAATCAATTCTTGTTTAAAAGTTGAGATGCAAATATAAAAGAGCCACCCACATCTCCAATGTGTTAAAGCAGGACGCAATAATAGAGCTTTGGGTTTATATTGTGGGCCAACAATAATGGTCGAATTTAGGGAGGAAGGAGAACCGGAGAGGGTGGGGACTTAAATGGGTTTAGTTGGGCTGCGAACACAGAGCAAGGTAATTAGTAATATAAACTGCTCCCCGGGATCATTAGCTCTTGTAATGACCACTCGGCCCTATTTGAATCCTGTGAGCCCATTAAATCGCTTTAACATCTTGTTCCTCCCGTTTTAAACGGCGGGCATTATGATGAATCGGCCGGTTTCGATCAAGTTATAAGTAGGAAAGGCCGGATCGTGTGAAAGCGTCGTGTGTTCTGGGCGTGAGCCTATGAGTAGTAGCATACTTTTTGTAATTATTTTTTACAATGATAACCAATAAAACAGTAATAAAATTAAAAAAGTATACACAGTAGAACAAAATATCTCATTTTTCTAATTTAAAAAAACGATATTTTAAAATACCGACATACTACGAGAGAGCATTTGAAATGGCTTTATTGTTGCTTTTTTGTCAAACAAAAAAATATTAATCCATACATGTTTAGCGGTCATAATTGACCATATTAACTATTTAAATTAATTTTTATTTTTATCTAAGGTCTTTGTTGAGATGAAAAAGTTAGTGACACGAGCGAGATTCGAACCCATGATCTTCGGCTGAATACGCCGCTGCTCTAACCACTTAAGCTATCGTGATTTCGATCCACTGAAGGTCGTAGGTTCGAATCCCGCTCACTAACTTTTTCATCTCGAATAAAATCATAAATAAAAAGAATAATTAATTGATATAAAAATATTTTAAACTCATACTTAAAATATTTCTATAAAATCCTTAATGATCATTGATTTTAAATACTAAGATACGTTTAATGGATGCTGGTCGTCACCGGACCGTGCTCCTTTAGGAAACAAGCGGGCACCTGAAACGGTTTTAATCCTAAGAATGTTTTTTTTTTAATCAAATATAAAAGTATTTTAAACTCATACTTAAAATATTTCCATAAATTCGTAAATGTTCGTCGATTCAAATACCGATATAGTTTAATGAGGGACTAATCTTCCGTTTAATTTTATTTTATTTAACGATTTAAAAAAAAAAAAATTTTGTAAATATTATTTTCAATCGACGTATAACTTGTTGTAGTGTTTAACCAACATGGGGTTGAAATATATCGATACCAAACAATAGTAGGGGTTGATCCGGGGTCATCCGGTCCGAGCATCTTTCGAGTATGAGAAGACATCTAAGACTGCCTTAAATTATTATTATGAGCCTCTTTGTTTCATTGCGAAATATATGAGCAATTTAAAATCAAATTTATTAGTATGAGCCGGCACTACCCACTTACTGAGTCCATCGAGTTTTTTGATATTAGTCAAACGGTTGTGCGCCATCTTCAAAGAGTCCTCAAGGGTCCTGGTTCGAATTCAAGGCTTAAATTAGCAGTCAAGCACTTAGAAATGGGATTTTTTCACAAACACGAGAACCCTGGGGCAAGGGGGTTCATATGACTCTACTGTCGCAAAGCCCCTTAAAAAAAATTTATGTACTTTTTGAATTAGAAATTTGAAATATTGTTAATTTTTATCGTTGTTTCCGATCATTTTGGTCAGTCTATCTTTGGAAAATTTGCATTTTTTCTCAATCTTCAATGATACAAAACTAACTTTAATGAAAATTTGCCATCATTATCCGAATTGGATACCAGCAAGTGAGTCGGTTTAATATTTATAAAAGTAATAACCAAAGGTAGTGTTTTTCAAATAAAATCAATATTTGTTCCAATTTAGTTCCAAGCCGAAGGTCGTGGGTTCGAATCCAGCTCGTGACACTAATTTTTCATCTCAACCAAAAACCTTAGATGAAAAGAATAACTAATTGGAATAATTAATACAGTATAATCACTAAGCAAATATTGGATTAATTCAATGTTTATTCTTGTACTTTATATTTTATTAAAACGAAATTTGTTCAACCCAATTAAACTTAGTTAAATACGATTTTGAACGTTTTATTTTCGACTCTATGATTTTTTTTTTTTTTTTTTTTTTAAATTAAAATTTGAAAGAGTGTGAATGGGAGGTTTGAAGACGATCAAGCCATATCCCCCAAAAAAGGCCATTAACTGATCATTACTGAACGCGCAAGTTTTCGTCGAAAGCTCTTTTGAAACTTAAATACGGCCTAATTTTTAATAAGAAAGCCGACATCTAGACAATTTGGTTAATAGCGATCAAGACATTTAATTAGGTTAAATGTCTAGACGATTTTACGACTTGGATTCGGAAAGAAGGGTGTTGAAGTTTAATGATTTGGAAGAAGGTCGCTATTGTAGGAATTAAAAGGGGCTCACGGTGCCAAGCCTTAATGATTTAGAAAGTTGGCAGAAAAGTTAAATGAGCGGCTCGCTACGAGAGCAGGAAGGGAATATTTCTTTCAAATTATTCCTAAGGGAAGAGTCTAATTGCATTAATAACATGCAAATGAGGAGGTCGAGGCCGGTTTGATTAAAAAAGTATAATTGAAAGTCTTTACGGGGGACGCCATTTTTCGTGTCGTTATTTAAGCTACGTCACGGAACTCAGTCCCTTTTATACCGGGGACCCTTTTTATGAAGGGTCGTAAGTTTTAATAAGGGAGTGTAATCTGTGGGGTGGAAGAGGGCTTAGCTCGGAGGTATTAGCGGAATGAGGGGAGGGGGAGACTCGAGAATTAGGGTATAATCTGTGGAAAAAGGGGGCGAAGAAGCCCGAGTCAAATTAACGGCGCCCCCCCCCCCGGCTCATAAACCTGAACTCTGTCGGGGATATCCTCATAAAAAGAAAGGAAAGGAAAATAAAGGTTTGTACGAGATTAGAGGACGCCTTTCGCCAAGTAGTACAACCAACGCTATGCTGAATTTGACAAAAAAAAGATTTAATTTCATTTAAAAATAAGCACGTGTACTTACGCCTATGATAGCGTTCAGCTCGGTCATCGTCACCTGCTTCGCCCTTTCGACTGCCGTCGCGACTTGCTGTTGGTGCTGTAAATTTACATTTACATTAACATCAGTTCTGTTTTAACACTAAAAATAATAAAAATTAGCTTAATTTATGAATTTCTAATTTGAAAGAGGACTGTGTATAAATTCATGACAGGTACCAGTTTGACTTTTTGCCTAATAAAATCAATAAAACAAAAGGATTTACTAATATACTAAACTCCCTCCATACACGATTTCCTTATGGCACAGGTTAGGCAAGTCCATTACCATACCAGAAACGTTTGGAATCTGGAACGGTTCAGTACAGAGACAAAATCCAAGATGAGGTCGTTGTGGACAATGAAGTTAGTGGCGTAGTAAGGAGCTTTGACGATTCAATTGAGAACTTATGATAGGTGCGCTGGATGTTGGATGGTTAGGGATGGTTGGATTGACAGAACCCCACAGTACCTCCTCATATATTTTTTAAATTTATATATGCTTTTTAAGGTATTTCTACGAATATAACAATGATTATTAGCAAAGCATAATACAGGCATGGATCACAATCCGTCTGCCGGAGGTCGTTGTTAAGAGAAAAAGAATAAACGAAAAAAAATAATAATAAGAATGAAAGCGAGGTTATAACATTATTCGCTACATGCTAGCACACCATCAAAAAGGTTAAACATAATACTAAAACTACTTCTAATAGAAAACAAACAGAGGGGAAAAGTCTTAATGGGACAAAAAATCGGATATTATAAAGTCATATATTATAAAAAAGAAATTGAGTGAATGAATTGGAGGGGTCAGAAATTGAATTCCATAATTAGGTCTAATCTTTATTTCCGGGCGTGGCGGACGTACTGCGTGAGCGCCCGTGGATCTGGGCTATCCAACAGATTTAACAGAGTGCTTCTAGAGAGGGTAAAAGATCCCAAGTGCAACAACCTTATCTCGCCCAATATTGTACATTCGGCCATAAAATGCAGAGTTGTTTCCACAGATTGAGAATTGGAAATCCTTGCCTCTCAACCAAAGTGCAGAGTTCAAGTTAAGGGCCTTGCAACGGGTTTTTAGTAGCCATCTTAAGTTTGAAAGACTAAGGGAATTAAGGTTCTCTCTCTGTAGATTAAATAGTATTAGATGAGGGGGTGAGACAAGTCATTGCATAAGGAAAAGTTAAGCGAGGACTGAGCTCGGAGTAAGCAATCGTCCCGATGCCGTTCCTTGAGTCTAGATAGCAGATCTAAAAAAGAGCTGGCGAATCAGCAAGGTTTTCGTAGGTGGGACAGGTTACTTCAAATCTCGCGGAAAGAGCGTAAGCCATTTGGCATACCAGGCGGTTTTATTCCTGATGACTTCGATCGCAGTTATTTTTGCCAATTTTATGTAAGGGGAATTCAAAATTTTGAAAATAAATGAAAAGTGAAGTTTTAAGGTGTGTACGTAAATCAGGTCAGTGGACGTTTCTAAATAAATCATGTAGTTTGGGGTAGGGTTAGGAAGAGCAAATAACTTACGAATAAAGATTTTTTGGAATTTCTCGACTTCTTCATATTGTAGGTAGCCCCATATCTGGCAGCCGTAACAGATGATTGACCGACATACCAAGTTGAATACATTAAATTTCACGTGGATCGGAACCATTTCCTGTTTCATCAATGGAGCCCAGGTTTTACAGACAGCAAGCTTCGCATATGATATTTTCTTTTTCAGATGGTGTGACCAGTGTAGTTGGGGGGTGAGTGTGACTCCAAGGTATTTGTATTCGTTCATCACCTCAATTCTTTGCCCCTTAAAAAGCCAGCGGTTTATTCTCCCCCCTCTTCTGAAAATGATGATTTTGGACTTTTTGAGATTAACTGTCAGGTTCCACTGGGTTAATATGATTCGAATATTTTAATATTATTTTGTAGCCCATGCGCGGCCTCTGCCAAACTGACAATATCGTTTGCATAAAATAGTATTTTTATGCTAACGTTGCCTGAGAGTCGAGGGGAGATCATCAAGAAAGAAAGCAAACAGAACTGGACTGAGTAGACAACCCTACCTAATACCACATTTAACCTCAAAAAATTGGATAAACCTTCACGCCCTCGGACCTCTGATGCTGTTTGTGCGAAGAGGGATTTTAGGATATTCAAAATTTTGGAAGAGAAGTCATAGTTACTAATTTTGAGCAAAAGTCCTCTACGATCTACACTATCACAAGCGGCTTTTAAGTCCACGAAAAAAAAATTTGTTTAGGCCTGGCCAGTTTGATATTAATGATATTTAACAGGACAAGTAGATTATCACTTGCAGAGTAAACTTTCCGGAAACCCATTTGACATTCACTCAATAAACACTTTCTTACTACGAAGGCATCAATGCGGGATAGGACTAGAGCAGAGAAAATTTTTGCGAACGAGTCCAAGCAGGAAATACCTCTATAATTATTTACATCATTGACGTCGCTACTTTTAAATAGGGGGATAATGATTGATTTCGAAAAGGATGGAGCAATGAGACCTGAGGAAAATATAGAATTAAAAAGGTATTCACGAAAGACAGGAGGGGAATTTTTATAGAATTCGTAGGGAATTCTGTCAGGACCTGGGGATTTATTGTTTTCAAGCCTGGCAAGGATAGATTCTAGCTCTACAAAGGTAAGGGGGGCATCCAAAATGATGAGGGTTTTGTTAGTAATGACAGGATTCAATAGTGACTTAAAATGTAGCGACCATGCTTCGAGAGAGTAAGGAGCTTAAGCAAGGAGTTTTGACGATTCAATTGAGAACTTATGATAGATGCGTTGGATGTTGGATGGTTAGGGATGGTTGGATAGACAGAACCCCACAGTACTTCTTCATATGTTTAAAGTGGTCGCGTGAAGTCTTTTATAAGGTTAGTTTAATTTTGACAGTCAGGCCGGTTTGGTCCTAAAAGTCTTTGTAGTTTTCCCAGTCTTCTGTAGTCTAGGTATAATCCTAAGTTCTAGACCTGACTGATATTCCTTTCTTGATGATGTACAGTGAAGGACAAGTAAGTTTTTCCAATGTGAACTTACCCTGAGTAAATTTTGCTTCGTTCAGTCTTCGATAACTTCAAGGTGAACTTGAAGGTAGCTTGAATAGGATTCGAGTTAAAGGACAAAATTGCTGTATACACGTCCTCGTAGGTGGTGATGATGGTTTTAGGGTAGGTCAGCATTACTAATAAGATAACAGCTAGGGCCAAGGGTGGGTTAATATACAAAATCTAGAAAATCATGTGCTTACTACTTAATAAGCTTGTTTTGTGTTTCAAGAAATTTAAGACTTCGTGTTATATATTTTTAAATGTTAAGAACCGGTTGTATTGCTTTCTGAAAGCCAAATTTGGTCATTGCTATGTCTAATACTACTTACTAAGCACTTCAAAACCATGTTTAAGTTCGACAATTTAAAAAAAATTGCAATAAAAACTAAACTATCCACACATAACTAAATCTACCAAATCGTAAAAAGCATTTACAAATACAAGTCAGGAAAATGTGCTAACATAGGTTTCAAATAAATATTTCGCTTATTATTAAAAACAAAAGATAAAATATATAAAAAGTATTATTTTTTTATCACTTATTAGGTATGAATAAGTAACAAATGGTCAACGAACATTTAGAATAAACTGACAGGTTGGGATACCTGATCTATTGGGATCCTAATATAGTATTTTACACTTAATAAGTTGTTTTGTAAGTTATATTAAAAATTTAATTTAACATTTTGCTAAATATAGTTTGATACTTCTAAGTACATTTAAAAAAATATATAAAAACAGATGATACTTACTTCTTGTGAAAGATAGGGTAATATTTGGGCGATGATGGCATTCAACCTTTTCGCAATTTCAGTCTGGAAGAAAACAAAGTAAAATGAGTAATGTAACAGATTATCAAAACAAAAGAAGAGAAATATAAATTGAAATGCATAGTTGGTCCATTCGCGAATATACGTCCGACCAGGCTAAACGACGTTTACCAGGGACATTGATTAGCAATGAATATCAATGAAACAATAGAAAAATCAATGGGGTAAATCCTCGCCACCCCGCGAGCGTTTTCGTAATGGGGAAAATAAGGCAATTTCCTCTGAATCGTCGCGTGACGGCGTCCCATCTTTTATAGACACACGGCCCTTGTTTGCGCGGATGTACTTGGAAACCTTTTACCCCCACACGTCTTATTCCACAGAAACGGGGATAATAAAGCTTTCCTCCCTTTCTTTGACAGAGGAGTGGTGTGACGGGTAATAAAGGGCGGGGGCGGAAAATGGGATTTGTGGTTTTGAAGGGATGTAGGGCCCTAGAGGTGAGAGGCCTCGAAAAGGTGGACGGCGGGACGAGGGGGATGATCGGATTTCTCACAAGGTGAATCACGAAGACCCGAACGAATCACTTGAGGGTGCCAAGGGATTGGAAACAAAACAATCCCCGTCCCTTCATCCCTTTTATTAAACCCTCCTCTATATTTCCTATTTGATTTGCTTTCCAAGAGAAAACAAAAGACGACGGCTGTGGCCAAAGACAAATGTGACCGTTTCTTGTTTCACAACCAGCCCAAGAATATCATCCTAATAATGACAATTCAAGAAATAAATAAAGTCCCAAATCAGGATATGAAAAACCCAGTTTTCGATATTTATTTGAGCAGTGGAAAAAATAAAACGCTAACTTTGGTAAGTATTTAACTGTACCTTTTGTATTTATTATAGTTTTTACAGGGTTTGCTACAACAGAGATTTTAATATTAATATATATTTGTAATTCTTTTGAATTCGAATTCAGGCCAGCTGGGATTCGAACCCGGGACCCTTCTAGTGATGAATCGGCGTTTTAATTATCTACTTGCAGCCAGTTATGTCCCCAAAAGAACATGGGATGAAGCTAATAAAAAGGAACTGTTTTTGTTTACTTTAATATGTATGTCATTTTTCTCTCTCTCTCTCTCTCTCTCTCACCCTCTCTCATATAGACACAGACACAGACACAGACAGACACACACACACACACACACACACAGAGAGAGAGAGAGAGAGAGAGAGAGAGAGAGAGAGAGAGAGAGAGAGAGAGAGAGAGACACTGATAGAGAGACACACACACACAGATAGAGAGACACACACATAGAGAGAAACAGATAGAGAGACACACAGATAGAGAGATACACAGATAGAGAGACACACAGATAGAGAGACACACAGATAGACACACACACACTTTCTTACTACAGTTTTCTAAATTAAAGACACCACAATCTACTCTACACATATCTATTCTGTCTGTCTGTCTGTATAGCTCATTCCTTGCCACTTTTTATGAAATACAAATACATGCTGAAATTTATTCCAAATCTTAAGGAAAAGCTAAACATCGTGTTTATCGACGAAAAATAGTGAAATTTCAACAAAAACGAATCGGGAGACGCATATTCTTCAAATGTATTTACACGGGTATTAATTTTTTTAAAAATATTTTGTATACAAGTCCAGGCAGAAATTGGCCGAATATGCTCTTCAGAGTTGAAATGGTCGGTGTATATTGCAGTGGTAAGGTGAGACGACTGAATGTATTGATCTGGGGGGCGAGGTGTGACAGTCAGTAGAGGGTCTGGCGAGGGGGTGGCTGATGAATATTTAGCAGCGAGCCGCCTCCCGACAGCTGTTGACACCCCCCCCCCAACCAACACTAATTCTTTCTACAAGTGCCTCAACCTCCCTCTTTCCAACAACCATTTGATTTCTCGCCGCTTTAGGAATTATTTCTGCACGGTCGGTCTCTGATTTTTTTTTTTTTTTTTACTGCACAATCAGGCCCTGGAATATTTTTCATCCCCTTTTTTTTCCGTGTCGTGAGGGGGTTGGCGGAAAAGAAATTCCCAGATATGACCCTTGCTTCAACAGCTTTTTTTCTACCCCTTTGTGAAAACGAGGGTGAGAAGTGGGAACCAAATTATATCCAGCTAATTCAAATATATTATTTAGAAGAGATATAGCGAGTGAATTGTATAAGGGCTACTGTCAAGCTACATAATGAACTAGGGTTGGATAGTAGTGCGTTTTTAGTTTGATAGTAGTGGACAGAAGCATGCGGACCCACACAGCAACAAATCTGACAAATTGTTTTAACTAAATATAATTTGGAAAAATTTAACGTCTTAATTTTAGAGTAACCATGGTCAAATTGCATAATGGTCTGACGGTTATGAACACTTTTTGTAATGTTTTTTTAAAGCCATATTTAAAGAAAATTCTTCGAAACAAAGTACGGAATGAAATGGGCAAACCTGTAGGCATTTTCTAAAGTGAATAGCATGAGACAAACAACCGGACACTCACTGAACATATTTCGCAATGCGTTTGATACTCGTTTTCAACAGTGTTTTAAATGGCCCAGCTCTAGTAAATAATTTTATTACCACTTTATTTTAAGATCTACGGGTTGCAGGTTAATGAGTTATTACACGTTTTAGTTTATTTGTAATGTTCCAAATTTATCGTCTTTTGTTTACTTCCGACACTATAATGATTAAATATTGGTCGTAAACGCTGGTCGCGTTTTCGATTCCCGACGTTTCTAATTGTCTGAATCCTCATCGGAAACCACATTAAAAAATAATACAGAATTAAATAGGCAGTAATGTCTGGACCTTCTGAAAGGGCTAGCGCAAGATTAACATGCGGACATACTATGAACACAAACGCGTCTTACCAAAATATCGACCCACTTTCTTTCCACGATTGATTTATTTCGAAATCCTTTTGTTTTGCCTGCCCAAGAACTGTATTAACTACAAAGTAACGTCTCAAATGAGAAAACTGCACTACAGTAAAAGAAATATACAAAAACATGACGAAATTATCATGGGAAAAGATCGGGATTGAAAAATATATATATATTCAAGAGAGTTGCACATTCCCGAACATTGACCGACTCGGGACATTAAGAAACATGTCTTTATTCTCACTAAACCCACGTGACGTACGCTCCATCCAGAGAATTGTGCTGGAAAATTGAACACACTGGCACAATCTTGTATGGAACGATAGTCGAAATTCCTATTTCTTTTGTGAAACCTAATTGAGTTTCGGATCTGAATGATGTATTATTGTTGAAAATTGAAAGATTAAAGAAAAATTAATATGTACAAGATAAGTGACTTTTTTTTAAAGAGAAATGCTCGAATGTTTCGTTGTTGTGATTTAATGTAAACGAAGATATTTCAGAATTTAGTTACGAACCAAGTCGACTTGTAACTTCTGCCATGACCGGGTAAGAGAGGCATAATTACATTTTTCAAAAGTTTTATCTTTTTTTCACCAAATAACTTTGGGAGAATAAAATAAAGCCTATAATTATTCACCATGTGATTTTAATCCCGAGCCACTTTTGAAGGAAGGGCAAACGGGCTTGAAAGAGAAAGAGGGCAAAACACGTGTTAAAAAGACGCCGTTTTATCAGGAAAATGAAGGAGGTGGAGTTAAAAGTTAGCTCGGGTGTCACTAGGGGAAGCCCGCTTTTGAAAGAGGTTCCCCTTTGGATGGTAGCTCGTAGAGTTCAAAGCCCGGTACTCTTATATATATATAAAAAAAAAGTGCACAGGGTGAAAACAGTTGGAACATTTTCCAGGTAATAATGGTTTTTTTTCCGATAAACAAAAAAAAAATGGTGGTAATTTATTAACCCCATCTTTATTTAAGATTAAACTAAAACCATTTTAAAGTGTGATTAGTGTTCATTTTTAACGAATAATCCGAAGACGACCGGGGTAAAGGTAACCTCACAGCGAGGATAATTGATAATAATTGGTTTTCAAATATAATTAAGCAATTTAAATGCTTACGAACGTCTACTTTTACACATGCTTCTTAGAGACAACATACACTAATGGTACTAGGTACAGCGAATTTGGTATTCACGTTATCATCAGTGAGCGAGTGAAAAGACTTAAGCCTCAACTCAATATGTTAGATATAAAAAAGTCTAAATATTTTTAACTAACTTTTTTTAGATCTTGGCAAAGCGTGTAATGTGTACTTGTTTGTTTTTCCCTTTTCGTATAAATTTATATGTGTTCACCGTGTTGAAACAAACTATAAAAATATAGTATCCTATTAAGTCCTGCATTGCTTTTAAGGGTATTTTTTGTCTTTTAACTTTATGTCACTTGGACATATCAAATTTAAATTCTTCAAGATCCTGCCTAGGTCAATGCAAAGCGTTTTCTATAGAACAGAGACGTTAATTTTTACAAATTCTTAAGGTCTCAGGGTTTACCATTCACGATCGTTTTAGTAAACTGATCGCAGTTTTGATACGAACTCATTACTAAAAACAAGACCAAACAGGCAAACCAAAAAAGCGAGGATAGGCAGATGAAAATTATCACACATCTGCCAAACTACATAAATTAAACATAGATTGCCCAGGTAACACTGTGTATATATATATATCTTATTTTTATTTTTTATTTATTTTACGAGGGTTCGCAACAGCAGAGGTCATATCAACCCTCAGGGTGCCGGTGTTTTTGAAAAAAGCCCATTTGTAAGTATGTCGGGTTCGAATGCTGGACTGCCGGATTCGAACCCGGGACCTTTACCTTATGAGCGCCGTGTCAACGCCTAAACCGTTGCGGCCCCGGGAACACTATAATCAACAATATTGTGTTAGTAAGTTTTTTATTGCGGTATTTAGATCCAATTTTGGTTGACAAAAGTCAAATATGTATATTGTTATTGCATTTCTTAATTTTTTCCTCGTCGTGGATGGTCGAGGGGTGGAAAGCTGTTAGGGAAATATTAAGGAATATCCCAGCCCTGCTATACTGCTATACTATGTCTGTTATACTTCATTGTAC